AAGAGAAATAAAAGAGAAAGAGCAGATACAGCAAGATCGAGACAAAGAGCAGCAACAGCTTCTTCAAGAAAAGGCAACACTTAGTCAGCAACTTGATTATTCTACCAATCTCCTTGAGCAAGCAGAAAAGGATAAATCAAGTCTTGAATTAGGTACTATTGTATTGTACTGTTGTTTATGTGTACATTGTTTACATTATAATACTAGTGGATTAGACAATGTTGAGTATGGAAATAGTATCCTGTACTCAATATAGGTCAAATTGTCCATGCATTAGAAATAATGAGATTGATGTAGAGTGAGCTCTGCTTACCATATATGGTATGATTAGCAATAATCATAGTACATGTATTTATGGGCTACTGTACATGCAGTGCAAATTTGTATTTTTGTATTTTTATTGATAATAGAGTATAATGAGAAGCTTAAAGCTAAAGTTGCTGATATTGAAGAAAAGAAACAGATTATTACTGGTTAGTGTATCATCAGTACATAATATTAGATGAAAGAACATTCTATTAATGTAGAAGATTATGAGAAACTGAAACTCAAAGTAGCTGATATGGAGGAACAATATCTCAAGGAGAAACAGAATATTATTGGTTAGTTAACTATACACACAACATGTATTAGATGAGAGAATATGTTTATTGTGTAGATGACAATCAAAATCTCATTTCTGAGAAAGACAAAGTTATAGCCAAACTGACATCACAAGTAGAGGAACAATCACAGAATGAGAAACAGATCATTACTGGTTAGTGTATCATCATTAATCAATAATAATTATTAATATTCTATTAATTTATAGACCTTAAGGAAAAGGAGTTGTACATAGCCAAACTAGTGAAGGAAAGACAAGAGAGGGTCCTCAAACAACCTATCAAAGAGACTAGTTCCATTGGACTACAATTTAATTACCTGATCCCTTCAATGGGTAAGAGTATTATTGTGTGACTGACTGAGTGTATACAATTGTGTGTGTACTCACTGTATATATTTTGTATAATTGACAGATAAATTGGATTGTCTGAGTGATGTCCAGGTAGCAGAGAGGAAGCTGTTCTTAATTCAAGGAGACAAACCTCAACTGATGAATTGGGAGAAATATGGTCTAAGGATTGGAGTACAAAAGGAGAGCTTACTGTCCTCTGAGACAGTAGAAGCAGCAGTGGTTGCTCTTGTAGGAGGACAGTTCCAGTTTCCACCTAATACTGTCCTAGTGAGTGCTGTGTATGCAGTATCACTCTCAAAGCCTCTCCTCAAACGACTCATATTAGAAATACAGCACTGTGTTGATTTAACAGGACGACCAGCTCTTAGTCGTCATCTCAAGTTTGCCATAGCTCCCATGAGAACACCCAGTCTTCCTTACCACTTCTTAATAGCTGAGGGAGGAGAGTTTAAAGCTGATAGTTGGTATGGATCCATTCAACGTAAAGAGTTTTGTTTAGTAGCTATTGTTGGAGAGAAATTTCTATCAGAGTCATCAACTAATGGAGACGAGTCAGAGGAAGAGGAGCAAGAGGAACAAGCAGAAGAGGAAACTGAGGAGGAAGTAGAAGATGGTAATAGTGATTCATCCAGTGATTCTGATAAGACTAAAGATCCACCAGGAGGTAGGAGTGGAGGACAAGGTGAGTAATGAGTGAGTGAGTGTGTACTAGTATATAATGAACTGAATCTATTCCACTATATAGGAGAGTCTACTAGTAATGAGGGAGTAGAGGAAGAGGGGGAGACTGGAGGTGAGCCATTACATGAGGAAGGAAATGAAGAGCAAGATAATGAAAGAGTAGAAGAGTCAAAGGATCATGAAGAACCACAGCATGAAGAAGCAACTGCTCCAATACCTTGTACTGAGATTAGTTCAAACTTTGATAGTAAGTACATCAACATGCAGTGAATATTAATTAATGTATATTTGTGTATAGGTAAAGTAGTAGTTTCCACTGGTATAGTAGAGAATTTGGCTTATGCTGGACTGGTTTATTATGAAGAGAAAAGAGCTGAAGACTTAGCGACTTTTACTGCTGCTAAAGATCTTAATGCACTGCTTGAGGTACATGTAAATCTATTGTACTGGATATTTTTTATAACATGAATATTTTGTACAGTTTATTAAAAAAAATCACTC